AAAGCCTATGTGACTAAATCTTTAGGTTAATTCTTGGATCCTATTTAAATTGATTTAAAGGAGCTCTGGTAGCATAGTGGTTACAAATAGGGCTGCGAACCCCAAGGTAAGCAGTTCGAAACTACCAGCTGTTTTGTGGGAGAAAGATGAGGCTTTCTGTTCCCATAAAGATTTATGGCCTTGGAAACACTGTGCAGGGTTGCTATGAGTTGGAACCGATTCCATGGCACATAACAACAACATTTAAATTGATTTGTCAAGAGCAATCAATGTATTTAAAAGTTACAGTTACTTCCATGAAACACTTTTGGTTTCATTTGACTTTGCAAATGCCGCACCCTTGATTTTCCTTCTCCCTTGCCTTTCCTTCTCAGTCTACTATGTTCATTCTTCACATCCCAGATATCTAGATGCTAGATTATCAGGATCAAAACTACTTTTTCTCCCTCTTTCTACAGTCTCTCAGTGATGAAATCTATCCTGTGACTTAAACATCATCATCATGCTGGCAATTTTCAAATTTATATCTCCACTAAGCTCAGATACCCAAATACCTCAACATTTCCACTTATGGGTCTGATATTAGCTGTTGTCAAGTTGGTCCCTGGTTCAAGGGGGCATATGCACAATGAAACATCAGACTGTTGTGATCCTCAAGGTTTTCATTGGGTAATTTTTTTTGGAAGCAGAATGCCAGGCCATTCTTCCTAATGTCTTAGTCTAATGTCTTAGTCTAGACTAAGTCTTAGACTAATGTCTTAGTCTAGAAGCTCCACTGAAGCTTGTTCAGCAACAGAGCAACACTCAAGCCTCCACTGATTCTTGTTGGTTGCTGAACATGAGGAACATTGGGTTGGAATCAAACTGGGTTTTCCGGGTGAATAGACAGAATTCTACCACTAAGTCATCACTACCCCCATGTGTCTAATTGACATCTCAAGTATGTTGTTGTACATGCCATCAAGTTGGTTCTGATTCATAGTGACCCTGTGTAAGGTTTCTGAAGAGTGGCTGGTAAGTCTGAACCACCAACCTTGCTGTTCAAACTGACCTTGAGGTTGAATAGTCATCCTATGGACTTGAATATAACATGTACCCAAACGAGTCTAAACCTGCTCTTCTTGTAGACTTTCCAATTTTAGCAATGGTCAACTCCATCCTTCCAAAGTTTTTAGGAGTCATCCTTGATTTTTCTTGTATTCAGTTTCCTCATACAATCCAACAGCATATTCTGTTTTCAAACCATACCCAAATCCCTTGACTCCTCACCACCTGTACCACTATCATTTGATATGAAGCACAATGAGCTCTTGTCTGTTAACATCACTTCAAAACGCTCTTGTGGCTTCATATTACAGATTACTCTTTCCCACATTAAGCACCGTAATCCCTTGGATTCTGTTACTGTGATGATGTCATCCCCTACTATTCTTCCCCTTGCTAATTCCATTCCATATCCCTCTGGCATCTTTGCTGTTTTTCAAACCTTCCTATTGGAGGCCTGTGTATTTTCTCCTTTGCCTAGAATTGATTTAAATTCATCTTCATTAGGAGTCTTTGCTCAAGTTAAAGAGAAATGAGTGAATAAACTGTGTATTAGATACTACAGAGTAAAAAGATTTGCACAAATATAAAATTAGCAATCAAAGGAAGTCTACAAATGCAACTGACTTTTGAAAATTCTATCACTTACTATGCTTTATTAAAAATTCATACCTCAACCATGATGTGTAGTCATAAAAAACAATGACCCAAAATATAATACTCAAATGATTCAACATAGCACTTAATTGTATAGCAGTCCCATTCTAGTTCTTATTAACATCAATATGTTGTTGTTGTTGTTGTTGTTGTTGTTGTTATTGTTAAGTGCCGTTGAGTCAGTTCTGCCTCATAGCGACACTGTATAGAGTTTCTGAGGAGTGGCTGGTGAGTTGGAACTGCCAACATCGCAGTTCCAAAATAAGTCCAGTGCTTATCCTATAGTTGTACACTTGGATACCTCTTTTACATTAAATTTACAACATCTAGCAGTTTCCTATGGCATTTTCTTAGCCTGATTAATTTTAAGTGCCTTCAGTCTTATTTTGGATAAAATAACAAAAATTCTAATTAATGTAGTCGTCAACAGTTTGTTTCAACTTTGTAACAGAAAAATTCTCAGATCAGATTCATTTGTCAAAGTAAATTATTATCTATATCCTCATTTAAACCTTTTCAGGTTTAAAAGCATCATTTCAATCTAAAGAATAATTATCATCTATAATGCAAATTTGTACTATGAGGAAGTCATTTTTAAAGTTAGTGGCAAGTCTTTATGCATTCTATAAAATGGTACTTTCTATCCCAATCAAAGATGTTTAGAAATTATGATTCAAGATGATTGTATTTTAGTTCTGCATTTTTAAGTACAATTTTAACAATATACTTTGTTGTTGTTAAAGTTTAAGTGCCGTTGAGTTTGTTCCGACCCATAGCAACCCTGTATAGGGTTTCCAAGGAGTGACTGGTGTGTTTGAACTACCAACCTTGCAGTTCAAACTGACTATGCTTTCCAGTGCATTAACTCATAATGCCACACCAGGACTCCAATTACATATATATGTATATATGTATATATATATATATAAATATAAATATATATATATATATATATATATATATATGTAGATACACACACACACACACACACACACACACATATATATGGAACTCTGGTAGCGTAGTGGTTACGAATCGCTCAAGGTCAGGAGTTCCAAACTACCAGCTGTTCTGTGGGAGAAAGATGAAGCTTTCTGCACCCGTAAAGATTTACAGCCTCAGAAACCCTGTGCAGGGTCACTATGAGTTGGAATCGACTCTACGGTACTTAACAACAACAGATATATATATATATATAATGATGATAACTTTTTATTTGCAAAATTCTTAAGTCAAACAAGGTAAAGCTATCACAAAACGTATTCAGTGAACCATTCAGGAAAGTCTTTTATCTTGGATACCTTAAATATATGTCAGCTTAGGCTGCCTGTCAGTCATTTTCCATTCTAAGCAGTCTGGGCAGATTAGGGAAGTGTCTGAATGGACCCTATAAATGGACAGAAATACCCTAAACAGCTCTGAAAGTGCAGAAAGGATATATTTAACAGAAAATATGGACCACAAAGTACGTTAGCAGTCACCCTAAGGAACAGAGGTTTGAGACTCCTCGCATAACAAGAACCCCCAGCCCCACCAAATTTGATAACTACCAAATTAAGGTCAACTTTTCTCTTTCAATGTTTTCATTGTTAATGTTTAAAAATGATTCAGAACATTCTCAAAATGCTTTGGTCTGTATTGTGTGGGTACCTAGGCACTAGAAATAATGCTTAGTGTTATATGGCTGTGGCCAAATAAAAGAAGCATGGCCACAGTGATCACCCTCATTTCAAAAATGTTCCACTAATATGTAAAATAGAGTAAATAATGTAAAGGAGAAATTACCGATCATAAGCAAGACTGAAGGCTATTTTTGTTTTGTCCCATTTGTGATGAAGAACAACATAAATTCTAATCTCAACACACATTTGAATTTCCAGATATCTATAAACAGTCTTGATGTCGAGATGCAAGAAAAGCACTGGATTACTAATCACAAGTTTAGCAGTTCAAACCCACCAGTCAATTCTTGGAAACCCTATATGGGATTGCTATGAGTCATAACCCATTTGACAGCACTTAACAGCAAAAATACAAATAGTCAATGATCCCTTTTCTTACTACCAGAAGTAAGCCTGAAAATACTATTATTTACAAAGCATACATGTATACATTTTCATTTTGGACTAAAAAAATTGGATTGGTATAATAATTTATCTGGCAGAAAACAAATCCTGCTGATTTGTTGATCTGAGAACATCACAATGAGTCGAAGGCATTAAATCACTATGAAGAAAACAATGGGAGACAAAAGAAAAACTATCTAGAACCTTGCCTCCAATTGATACTGGTTTTCCTCCACATTCTCTACTGCATTCGCTATACTAATATAAATTTAGGACACATGCTTTGAACAAAATAAAGAAAGCAGGGCAGAAGAACAGAGAGGAAAGAGAGCTGCATTTAGGTAGAGGGATCAGGGCTGGCTTCACTGCAGCAGGCACATCAGAGCAGCTTTCAGACTGTGATGAACCAGAAGATGCTGCTGAAAAGTCTCCCCTGTAATGAATGAAGACTTCAATTGTAACAATAAGCATGCAGCCAGATGTAATGTACTTACAGCTCATGTTTATATTCAGCTTTACATATTAGAAAATTTAGGATAATTTGACATGAAAGGACAGAATTTTAACACGAAAATTAGCAATTTGGAAGAACTGATGTTGTTGTTAAGTGCTGTTGAGTCAGTTAATGTCTGACTCATAGCAACTCTGTGTAGGGTTTCCAAGGAGCTGCTAGTGACTTTGAACCATTGACCTTGTGGTTCAAACTGACCTTGTGTTTCAGTCCTTTTCCTACAGGCAGCACCAAACCATTTCTCAAAGAGGCTCATATCTACAGTACTTTTTAAAAATTATTGATATATGTATATATATATATATATACTTAAACCAATGTAGCCAGTACAATAAAACACTGACATAGTTTATCAATGATTGGTGCTTTTTTTTTTTTTTTTTTAAACAAAGAAGAAATTTTTTTTTTTTAAAAAAACAAAGAAGAAATTAACATCTTCTGAGCAAAGTCAGGAGAACTTCAGGGCTGTGTCCAGTCTAGAAGAAAGCTGAGTTTTGATGTGTATTTGCTCTATAATGCAAAACTATTGCACTCTGTAGTTCAAAATAAAGTTGTTTATTTCTTTGCATTTCTCTCGGGTAGATTTAGTCTAAATCTCAAACTATCATACACACAGATTCACAGGATAATACTTGTCCTTCCATTTTTCAATTGATAAATGATGTGCTGCTGCTTTGAGTATGCCAACAAAGGCTATACTTCACAGTTCCGTTGAAGGAAGATCAAGATGCCACTTGGAATCGCTTCCTTGAAGTCAAGGTTGTCCTTTGAAATGATTTAGGTGGATACTGTGAACCTAAAATACCAACCAAAAGAGCAATTCTCATTAAAAGGTTATAAATGTAACTTCTCAGGGCTCTTCTGTACCTTACATACAGATACTATGTTTAGATAGAAAAGTCAACCTTTTTTAATGTCACTTTTACACAAATCAAGAAATGCTCATATGCAAACATTGTCATCATGGAAGACAAAACGTCCCCCACCTTAAAGCTTAGGTTCGAGCCATGTATGCTCTCAGAGCTGATAGATTTTCAAGGATCTTTTACCCAGGGCACTGAGACGGGGTTCTCTGCCAGCCCTGTTAGTTCACAGGGCTCAGGAGCCATGCCAGCTGTCGTAGGAGATCTATCTTCCCCACTGTTTGGAATACCCTTTCAGCTTCTTCACTGTATTTCTCAGACACAGAAAAAAATGTCTATATGGTGTAGTCCCTGATATTTTTGACCTATAAGCTTAGGTAGGGAAGAAGCCACATGCCTGCTTGTCAGAGAAAAAAAAATAAAAACCCTTTGACATGTAGGAATGTGTCCCTGGTGTCCCCTGGATCACATCTATAGAAGTGAAGAAAAGTTTCTGAGTCAAGAGTAAACACTGCCACAAAGTAATTAAGAGATTACATTGACTGAGATTCAAAAACCAAGAAAGGTATGCTCTTTGCCTCAAAGAGCATCAGCTTAGTGGAGAAAAATAAACAGGGTTATGAAAGTGGTATTTAGAGAAAAACTGTTGTTGTTGTTAAGTGCTGTTAAGTCTGTTCAACTCAGCAACCCTGCATAAGGTTTCTGAGGAGCATCTGGTGAGTTTGAACTGCCGACCTTGTGGTTCAAACCGACCTTGTGGTCCAGTGCTTATGCTATAGAGCCACACCAAGACTCAAAAAATCAAGAAAGTACACTTAACATAAACTAAGAGTCCACTTCTCTCTCCAAACTTCAACATCTGAGCTCAACCACCTACAGGACATCTACACTTGACATGCTGAATTCATGAAAATTCCTCGGCTTCCCTTTCAGTACCATGTACTGACCATCTACAGAACCATATTTGTCCAACTTCATGCCTTTCTCTTAGATCCCATATGACGTTCCTTCTGGTTCCATGGTTCAGAGCTCCTCCCAAAAGCCTCTTTACCTACTGTATCCCCTGAATACTGACTTGAATGGTTATGCTAAGCACTCCCATACTCCTTTCAATCTTCTCCAACAGACTGAATGTCCCTTTATGATGATCATAGCTTCCTTGTTTCCTAAATCTCAGCATTTGGCACAGAACTTGGTACAGAGTAAACAAAATGGCACATAGTTAATGAATAAAACGACAAATGTGTCTGCTTAAGCACCACTACCCCCACACCTCAATTTATAATTGTTAAGAGCCAGACCTGATGATGGAGTTTGGCTAATTTTTAGAGAAAGGCTTGTTACCACAGATAAGACAGTTTGCTTTGTCAGAAAACACATAAAATCCTATGTCATCAAGTTGATTCCAAATCAGCTATCCTGTTCAGAGTAGAATGGCAAAGTAGGAGTTCCAAGACAGTAAATCTTTATGGGAGCTGGTGGATTCGAACTGCTGACCTTATGGTCAGAATTTTTAACATAGCCCACTAAGGCTAGCTATGTTAAAAATTCCCATGATAACAGTTAATGTCCTTTAAATCTCCGTTAATTATAATACACATGGTTCAAAATTTTTGAGTAAAGTATGCTTAGTGCTCCCTGGGTGGCACACATGGTTTAGTGCTCAACTACTAGCTAAAAAGTTGCCAGTTTGAACCCATCTAGAAACTTCTAAAAAGTCATAGTCATTGAACACTCTATGGAGCAGTTCTACTCTGTACACATGATGTCACCATGGGTCAGATTTGACTCGATGGTAACTAACAACAACAATATGCTCAGTACAGAGCTACAACTGTTTCATACATTTTCCCATTATTTATTTTATTCATCTACCCTATCATCAAAGAAGAAATCTGGTCACAAAGAGTATAAGGCATTCCTAAGACTGCACATCTAGCAAGATTGTAACGGAACATCTAACACTAGAGTGGGCACACACCTCATGTCAATGCTAAAATGCCTCCTTGAAATAAATGTTGGTAACTGTTTAGGAAATTTGACACATTACTGTTCTGTATTCAAACTAGAGCTTTGTTTTCCAAATAGCATACTAGGCTGACAATAAATATTTCTAGGTAAACCTATGCTATCAAATTTCTAGTAATTGTCTCATGTATTTTAATAACTAGATTTTTGGAGATAATCTTAAAATTTCATTTGCTGGAAAAGTATGTCAATGCTACACCAGAAAGAGAGAAATGGACTTCCCATAGGATGTCATTTCCCTATTTTTAAGAGCCTGTACCCCGAGTCTAATTAAGAACACGTGGACATTTTCCCCTATGTGACCTAAAATAAGTGTTTGTCAGTGTAGATTTGCTCTTTGTAGAGGTTTCTGAGGTCAGGTCTGGTCATATATCACAAAACCCTGCTACATCACTTTATGTGACCAAAATTATTGTTGTTAAGTGCCATCAGGTCAGCTCTGAAATCCTGTATGGAGTTTCTGAGGGGCAGCTGGTGGGTTTGAATCAATGACCTTGCAGTTCGTATTGACCTTGAGGTCAAGTGCTTATCCTATGGTGCTACACCAGGACACCACGTAACCAGAATAGGTCTATCAAAACAGATAACCTCCAGTGTTGTATCATAAAACTGAAATCTCAAAAATTGCATCATTTTAGTTAGATATAAAGAAATGCTGACCTGTGAGAAAACTTTGACCTGTCCATGTGTGGCCAGCAAATTCCACTGGTGTCAGTGAACTTTTTCGAGGGGTATCTGACTGGTGAATGGAAAATAAAAAGATAGAATTATTATTTTTTAAAAAATATTTTCTAAATACTAATTTATAGCTAACAGATGACCTACCTGGAAGGTATGGGTAGTGCTGGGCCTTGAAAACTGGTCCAGAGAAACAGTTCTTTCTCGGAGAGGCGATCGTTCTATACAGTCAGGCATTGCACTTAACACACGATTTTGTGGATTCCTCCCTCTGTACTAAATGAAGAACAACACATTCTTATTTAAAATAAATGTTAGACCCCCACCCCTCAAATATGCATATGCTTCCATCTTTCATTCATTTATTCATTTACCCACTTATTTGATAAGCACTGGACCGCTAATCACAAGGTCGGTGGTTGAAACCCACCAGTCACCCCTCAGAAATCCTATAGAGGGTTGCTGTGAGGTGGAACTGACTTGATGGAACTTAACGACAAAAATCAAACATAAGGCAAAGAGTCTTAAGAGCGTAGTAGGTTAAGCATTGGGCTGCTAACAACAAGGTCTGTAGTTCAAATCCACTAGTTGCTCTGTGGGAGAAAGAATCTGCTCTTCTACAGATTCACAATCTCAAATCCAAAGGAACAGTTCTAATCTGTCCCATAGGTCACTATGAGTCAGAACTGACTTGATGATGGTGGGCTTCTTTTTTAAGAAAATATATAACTCTAGGAGTCCTGATGGCCCAATGAGCTAAATATTGGCCTACTAACTGAAGTCTACAGCCATACCATCCTGAATGTACCTGATCTTGTCCAATCGCAGAAGCTGAGCAGGGTTGGGCCTGGTTAAATATACTTGGATGGGAGACTGCCAGGGAATACTGGGTGCTGTAATGACTCCTGTTGTGGTACTGTATAATCAGTACTGGACTGCGAACCACAAGGTTGGCAGTTCAAACCCACCAACTGCTCCTCAGAAACCCTATACAGGGTCGCCATGAGTCGGAAAATGGCACTTAACAACAACTAACTGAAAGTTCAGTGGTTCATGCTCCAAAGGAGAAAGCTGGAAGTAGCTTCTACTAAATTATGTAGAGTATGGAGATGGTGGTTATGTGCCACGGAATTGACTCCGACTTACAGCAACCCAGTATAGGGTTTCCGAGCCTGTAAATCTTTACAGGAACAGAAAGCTTCATCTTTCTCCTGCAGAGCACTTGGCAGATTCAAACTGTTGACCTTTTGGTTAGCAGCTAGAGTGTAAAGTCTGCATGGCAGAATTCAAAAACAGATCCTGATCTAATGCATGATCTTTTCTTCACTATACTGTCTGGACATTAACTACTTCCTTTACCCCTGGACTTTCCAGTTTAGTTCAAGCCATGTTTTTATTTTAGAAAATAATAACTTAACCCTTCTACCTCCTGTAAATTCACACAAGCCATTTAGTTACTTATGTTGTTGTTAGATGCTGTCAAGTTAATTCCGATTCATAGCAACTCTGTATAGGATTTCTGATGCTGTTAATCTTTAAGGGAGCAGAAAGTCTTATCTTTCTCCCTTGTAACGACGGGTGGATTTGAACTGCTGACCTTGTGATTAGCAATTCAACGCTTATATAAGGAGCCATTAGCACTCCTTATAGAAGGTAGACTATGAAGGCATTTTGAATATAGTTAATCAATCATTCTTTTACTTTACTGATTTCATTTGGAAAGGCCAAGATTTTCTTGTCTGCTTGTTTCCCAGTTGACTAGCTAAGTGGTGCATTTAAGTGTAATGAAATCTATCTTACAGAAACAGGGTGGGATCCAGGAACTGCCGCATTCTGCTCACTGGTCTCTGAGCCTATTGGGGGTAGCCTGTTCCGTGAGGTTAGAACTGGGGAAGACAGATGGTCTGTACCAGTTTGCCTGTAACAGAACAACAGAAACATACATCCTCCATAAAGTTCCTGACCTCAATTGGCTTCCCAAAACACACGTTCACGTAGAATGAACTAAGTTTCAGGAAGACAGATGTGAGGAGGGGACCATTAGCACCAGTCCTATTCTCCTTGTTGAGCAATGACTGCCAGTTAGGATTTACTGAGCACTCAGCTACACTTGGCATGGTATGGAACACAAAAGTAACTGAAGACCTAGTTCTCCTCTTAAGGAGTTTATGAGTTAGTGAAAACAAGACTAAAACATAAAGAAACTAGAGAACAATAAAATAGTATTACAATTTGTAATAAAATGCTATGATACAGGTTCTGAATGTAGGCACTGTGGAAATTTAGAGAATGGTGCCGTCAGTGAGCAACAGGAGAAAAACAGGGAAGGATTCATAGAAGTGGGGGAAGGGGAAAATGGGAGGGAGTTATAAGTGAAGGCATTATGTCATAAATGTGAATAAAATTAATAATAAATATATAGGGACTTGTTGTTGTTAAGTACCATCAAGTAAGTTCCAACTCATAGTGACCCCTTATTGGGTTTCCAAGGAGCAGCTGGTGGGTTTGAACTGCTGACCTTGTGGTTCACAGTCCAATGTTTATCTAACAGACTAGGTGAGAAAAAATACAAAACTTTACAAAGAATATGAAGGATATATATGTAATAGAGGGAAAAAATGTACTACTTCATGAAAATATTAAATGCTGTGAAGATGTTACTTTTTACTACATTTTTATAGACTAATTTATGAAGTTAAATGAGATGCAATTCGATTATTACTTTTTTTTTAAAGAATATGACAAAATTTACTTTACAGTTTATTTATCAGGATGGGTGAATAAATTATAATAGAAAAGAAGTGAGGATAAGAGACCTCCCCTACCAAATACTAAAAATACAAAAATTAAAGTGTCTGGCTCTTACATAAAAGTTGTTAAGTGTCATCAAATGACACTTATATTGACCTCATATTGACCACCTCATATTGACCCTGGATAGGGTTTCCAAGGAGAAACTGGTGGTTTTAAACCACCAACCTTGTGATTAACAGTTCAATGCTTAGCCTATAATGCCATGCCAGGATTCCTGTGTAAGAGTAGAGGATGTTGTTGCTGTTGTTAAGTGCTGCTGAGTCACTTCAGACTCATAGTGATCCTAAACACAGATTCTAATTCATTTTTTCAAGAATAATAAATATATGAAAACTCAAACGTGATGATTTTTTTCTATAAAACTATCAGTGTTTTAAAAAGCATACAATACCTAAAATTTAGAGGCTAGTTTTAGTATTTAAAATTAGTATAACCTATAACTCTGGGAAACAATTTATCAAGGAGATCAAAAGTCTTAACACATATTTATAATTTTGAACTGATAGCTTAATTTCTAGGACTGCATTATCAGAGAAAAAACTAGATGAACTTTACAAATCTGTAAGATATTTACAAAAACATTCTTATTAATATTTATATTAAATGATGTTCATTTTATATTATGATTGTGAAAAAATAGGAAAAAGGAAAAGCTTTTGTTATAGGGAATTATCTAGTACATTACTATATATCCATATCATTATCTTGTAATCATTAAATTATGTTTTAAAATATTTAATTACATGAAAAATGTTTGCTGTTAAGTGGCATCAAGTGGTTGCGACTCATAGATAGTGTTTCCGAGGAGTTGCCGGTGGGTTTAAATTGCCAACCTTGTGATTCACAGTTCAGTGATGATCCTACAGCACCACACAAATAACTATAATGTTAAGTATATCATGATAAATGAAAAATGTATATGAACAAGTGTTACATTACATAAGAGTAAGATGTTAGTGTTATAAGCAAGACAAAAGAAAAGAAAAAAATGTAATCACCAAGACAATTTGTAGGAAATACACCACATTGGTTGGTATATGTCCTTTCTATTCCTATGTGATAGGCACATAGGAAATCCTTGATTGCTACTCATATTTTGGTTTTGTCTTAATGCACCATAGTGAAGTTGTCCAGTTCCGGTTTCCATCTTGTCAATTCCAACTCATATCAACCTCAAGTGTGTGTCAGAACAGAACTGTGCTTCAGAGGGTTTTCAATGGCTGACTTTTGGGAAGGAGACTGTCATGCCTTTCTTCTCAGGTATCTCTTGATGAATTCAACATTCAACCTTTCGGTCAGCAGTCGAATGCACTGAACATCAGAGTCTTCAAGGAACTAGAGTGAAGTTACAGTTCTTTGGCAATTAAGGAAAATAAATGTTACTTCAAATAAAGGGAAAAGCCTCTGCACAATACCATGGAAGTAAGACAATGTGTAGCTGGTATATTTGGGGGGTCAGAGGACAGATACAGCTGACCATGTGAAGGTGGGCAATGCATAATCAAAGGGGTGTTATCTCCCCCCGAGAGGATAAAATTTCCCTTTTCATGGATACAGAAATACAAATAAATATACAGTATGTCTTCGGTATTAAAATTCCATGTGTGGAGGAGTGATTTTTAAAAAGTTCAAGAAGACTCATTACAGGACAATAATGATAAAAAAAAAAAAAAATGCAGGGAAGATATGTTTGAAGGAGTCTGAATTTGTTTCAGTAGGAAAAATTTAGTGGAACTCTAATGTTAGAGCTTAAGAAGGCTGGGAGAATGAGAAGAGACTCGGTCACATAGGCATGGGCAGGGCATGAAGAGGGCCATCCTAGATTAGACACAGTGATCATGGAGAAGGGACAGCTATTCTAAAAAAATAAACAGAACAAAGTCAAATCTAGCTGATAATTATTTCCAAATTCCAAAATGTGGTGGTGTTGGTAAATGGAGGAGACAAAAACAAAAACGTTACTAAGGGATGTAGGGTGGATGGAGTAAGGTTTCCCAATAAAATTTTCACAGAACAGCCCACAATATCTTCCAAGAATGAGCAGGTGCATTGTTGTGGTGAAACAACTACCAAAAAAGCTAAACCTGATGCTATGAATACGTTTCAAAAAAATCAAATTACTAAATACCAGTTGGAAGCTAATGCTGGGGACAGCATATGCAGACCCTGGGTTGATCAGTGGCAGCCCCATTAAACCACCTCTGAGTATAATCAGTTTAACCCAGATG